CTGGATGGGTGAGGTTACGACGATGTAATGACACTAGCTGATGTGATTTAGTGATGATATAGGCCGCCAGATAATTGGGGTAGAAAGAATTGCTCTTGTAAGAATAGTTTCCAGAAAGCTTTAAACGAACTGGACTCTGAGCCGGACCCTTAGGCCGGGGCCGCTACATCCAGTAGAGACATAATCGAAGGGCTAAAAGCAGTTAATGAATCTTACCTTGATATTCGAACCTTGCGAGCGGGGCAAATTCATTTTCTTCTTAGGTTCTGAAGTAATTTAATACATTTAACGCAAACAAATAGTATCAGGAGAGGTTGCGCGCCAAAACAGTGGGGAATACACCGACCGACGAGCGGAACGCCATCTTGTGGGGACGCCTCAAAGCTACACCACGGCCAGATTTCTCATCACACCAGTAGCCTCGCAGCAGCCTTCTCCTAGGCCAATATGGCCATTCTGGCCGGAGGGGACCAAAGGCCTGGTACGCTGTCAAATCTAGCCCGTGGTGCTCAGCTGGTCGCCGATGTCGCGCATCAAGGGGAACATGAGCTTGAGCTTGCCGGAAGTGAAGGTGGGCGACAGCCGGTTGCGCAGGTTCCGCCACTTGGTGCCGTTTAAGTTGAACAGGTGCTGGCTGAGGGGGTCTCTATCCGATGACGGCAGGCCGCGGTCGTGGAAGCTGGAGAAGTCCTTGCAGACGACCTGCTTCACCATCTCGGGGTCGAACACCAGCAGCATGGGCACGTTCCACGAGTAGATGCCGCAGTAGCCGTTGTCGCGGTGCTCCAGCGACATGTCGTAGAAGTGCTCGATGAAGCTCTTCTTCCCCAGCACGACGGGCAGCATGTTCCCGATGATGGGCAGGCGGCCGGAAGCCGTGGGCACGCTGCGCTTGCGCCAGTAGCCGTGGCGGTACCACGTATTGACGAGGGCCGCCACCAGGACGACCACCACCGCCACCAACACGCTTGTCGGCTCAACCATCGCGGCTGAGATGAGAGTCGTTTCACTGAAGTCTTGATGCGCCGATGTGCCTAACTGGACTGGCCTCGCTTGCAGATGCCGTCGCTATATACGAATCACATGTTCGCGCCGCTGCCCCCTCCACCAGCGCCCGCCCGGCGGCGACGGCCGCGCGGCGCAGCGAGAGGGAGAGAGAGAGGGAGAGTCCCGGGCGGCTGAGGCAGGCTGAGGCAACAAGCTTCATGCTGCCGTCACTGTTTGCTGGAGCATTGTTGGCATTGGGGATGAGCCTAACCTAACCTCACCGCCTGCGCCCTCCTTCGCGCGGGGTGCCTGGATGACGCACTCAATGACGACAACAACGACACAAGCCAAGCGGCAATCAGTGCGGCCGGTGCGTTCTCCTTTTCAGCATCCAGTTGGAAGAGAGCGAAGAACTTCGCTATTTTCACGTATGACAGCAGGTGGTAATAATAGTTACAGTCTTTCAAGTGTTTTCCCAGACCAGTCGAAGTGCCTAATCCGGACACTCAAGTTGTCAGGTTGTCAAGTGCCTCGCGAATTCATCAGTCTCGATTACCTGGGGCTAAGTACGCATTCGCGATTTTTTTTGGCAGTTTTGAACCTCTTTCGAGGGTCACATTGTCGAGTGCTGCGCAAGTGACGCGTCTCACTACTTCGCAACTTCCAAACCACTTCTGGGCTGGACGCTGGACCAGCTCCCGGAGCAGCTCGCTCACCACTGAGCAGCCCAACGGCCACTGCACTGCGAGCAGGCGTCTGAGCGACCAACCCCACCCACGCTCTCCGAGCACTCCGGGGTGGTTGCCCTGGACTTGCGTCATCCGTCCTGTCACTGGTCACTGGTGACTCAGGCGCCGATACCGTTTTAGATACGGTGTGGTCTCCCCACCAGGTTCTCGCCCCTAGTACCCGCCGCGGCAAACCTGTTTCGGTGGAGGGAGGCACTCGCCCTTGCGCCAGGGATCTGTGTTGTTGCGTGGGGCGTCGGAGGCACGGCGGTAGGCCGGCGCCCGGAGTGCCTTAGCCGTCGTCTGTCTTCCGCCGTGTGCTCCAGAAGAGCGGATCGCGGTTTGTCGCTGCCTCTCTCGCGCCCTTGCGACTCTTCTGGCTCGTCCAGCTAGCTGTCACGCTAACTGCCGAACGTGGCGATGCCTTTCGTCCGGTTCGGCTCGTCGCGTGTCGCCTGCGCCATGACGGTGGTCAGCGGTCACTCATGGTTACAGTGTGCTGCCGGTCGTGCCCGAGGGCTGGCTCAGAACAGTCTCTCTCGCACTCATGGGGCGAGAGAGAGCTGCAGAGCTCGGCCCACTGGCAGCCTCTCGGCGCCGCAAGTCTGCAGCCAGATGGGAAAACACTTTGCCTGGGAAGACGCTTCGCCAAGGACAGCCTGCAGAGAAAATGAGATCCAACAATTTTAGAGATATAAGTCAGATTTATTTCGGCAGTAGTTGACAGAGTTATTCTTCCAGGCAGAAGAAAGAGCCCATGCTAATTTGGCGGAAAACTCCAGAGGACGCGAAGAGGACGGCGGGGATTCGTTGGCCTGGGTCGTCGGCCGGCACGAGCCCCAGTTGGGCGTGTTTGGAAACCCGCAAACACAGTCGACTCGATATCACAGCACGGTGTCGACGGGCTTCCTGCTCCTGCGCTGCACCCGCAGCCACAGCTCGTCGTCGTCCGCGGGGCTGCCGCTCGTGTCCAGGGAGAACTCGAGGTTGACGACGAGCGCGGCGAGGCACAGCCACATCTCCTGCAGGGCGAAGCGCGCCGATGTGGAGTGTGCGGGCGGCGGCGACCCGCTCGGGGAGGGCAGCCCGTTGAGGTGCGCGTCGTGGGGAGGCAGCTCGCCGAAGGGGATGTACGCCCCCGCCGGCCGCGCCCGTCGCGCCTCCGCGCTGAAGCGCTCCTCGGGCGCGAAGCGCAGCGGGTCCGGGTAGTGCTGTGGGTCGCGGTGGACGTCGCGGACCGCCACGTAAACGCGCGTCCCCGGCGACAGAGGCACCCCGCGGTCGGCGCCGCGCCGCACGGGGAGGGTGTAGCCCCTGTCCGCCACCGCCCGGGCCAGCACGTCGCACGCCGGCTCCAGGCGCAGCGTCTCCGAAAGGACCTTCTCCAGAAGCGGCGAGTCCTGGAGGACCTGCAGCAGCGAGGCGGTGAGTACACCGAGCAGGAAACCCATGCTCTAGGTCATTTAATTCAGTCGTCCACCCCACCTGCAGCCCGAGCACCCTGGCTGACGGCGACGCGTCGTCGTGCACCATGGCGGCGTTCACCTCCTGGGCGACGCGGTGCTGCAGCTCGGGCTGCCGCGCCAGCTCGACGAGGCCACGCGCCACGACGCGCGCCGCGTGCGCGTGCAGCACGAAGGCCTGGGCGGCCACCACGTCGTAGGCCAAGGCGCAGTGGTTGCGCCGGTCCTTCTCGGTGAGGAAGCCCCGCGAGGAGCACCGCGAGGCGGGGCGCGAGGACGCCGTCGTGGGCGCGTCGACAGGCGCCGTGACGGCCATCATGAGGTCCACGAAGTCCCGGCGGCGGGTGCGCGTCCGCTCGCGGAAGGCGGCCGTCTCGCGTAGCATGTCCACGTAGAAGCAGGCGGCGGACGGGTACAGCAGGCGCGGCGGCAGCAGCGTGGCCGCGGAGGGCACGGCCGTCACCACGGCCAGGGCCAGCATGCTGGCGGCGCCGGGCCGCCGCGACGCCTCGGCCACGCGGTGCAGCTCCCAGTCGGGGTCCTGGATGCAGTTGCACGCCACGCCGAACGCGCACGCCCCCACCACGGCCGTGGAGAAGCGGCGCAGCGGCCCCAGCACCTCGAGCACGGCGCCGTGGCCCTGGCCCGACGCTGGACAAGAGGGGTTCTCTGGATGCGGGGTTTCCACAAGAGTGCGTCCTTAGGCACGGCCACTGAGAAAGCATTTCCTTGTCTCCAGCGGTCGATCTCTTTCCGGGACGCGATCACCATCAAGCTTTTCGACAAAACTAGATATCCCGAAAAAAATTCGGAAGAGAAATGGCGGTTTTACGTGACGCCATCCCGCGACCCGCCATGACAAATCGAACGGCCCGCGCGCTTCTGCGACACAGCAGACACAGCGTAAGGGACTGCGTCCAATTTGTCGCAGCGCCGCGCGCAGGGACGTCGGGGACGTCGGGGGCGTGGGTCGAGCCAGGCTGCGAGCCACGCTGCGGATGCAGCCGAGTGTGAAATTGTGAATAGCGTTTTGACCTGCAGCCTCGTCCCTGGCAACGCGGGCAACGCGAGCAACCCGTCTAGATATTGTGTACGAGGGGTCCTCGTGATGGGACTGACGCCAGCGTGCCCCGTCCTTTAGTCCTTGCCAGGACGGAAAGGAAGTGGAGCAAGAGAGGCGTCGACGTCGCCCACAGCCCGGCTGGCACAGCTGGAAGAGCGGCGAGGCAAATCCTGTTCAGCCCACGCCGCCGTGCCGCCGTGCCGCCGTGCCCTCTTACCCGCGACCCTCTCGTCGAGCAGCTGCACCAGCTGGTCCGCACAGTCCGCCATGAGCCTGGCCACGGCGTCCACGCGGCCCGCTCGCAGCAGCGGCGACAGGCGCTCTCGCAGCACCCGCGGCGCGGCCGCCATCTTGGCGTCCATCTTGGCGTCCACGCCGGCGTCCACCGAGGCCGGCAGCACCTCGGCGTCAAAGGCCGGCGCGTCCGGGCCGAGCACGCGGCCCACGAGGCGCGCGTCGCTCAGCAGCACGCAGGGCCGCGCGCGCCACTCGAACGCCCCCACCGCGGCCGCGTCGGCGTGCCTGCGCCGCAGCGCCGCCAGGTCGTCCGAGAAGGTGGTGTTCCCCAGGAGCGAGTCCGCGAAGCTCCCCAGCAGCGGCACGGCGTGCTGCTCGTCGGACCGCCACCGGAGGCCGTCGCAGTGCTCCTCGGCGTCGCCGGCCAGCCAGTAGTCCAGCGGGTGGTACAGCGCGTGCACGAGCGCGAGCGCGGAGCCGGCCGCGGCGCACACCAGCGCCACGGCCTGCACCGCCACGGCCAGCAGCAGGCTCGCGGGCCAGGGCGGCCAGCACCACACCTGCAGCAGCGGCTCCAGCATGGCGACTGGAGCAGACTGGAGTCGGGCTCGCCCCGGTATGCACCGCGTCGCGTGGGCGCCCCGCGGCCCCTCTGCAGTCCGCGCCCAGCTCGGCGCCCGGCGTGCCCCGCCCCCGAGACCCCCAGACTGGCCGAGACCCGGCGGGCCGTGGAGAGCGACGTGCGTAGGAAGCAGGCCAACTACCGGCCGGTCGCCGCGCCTCGCCAGGGAGAGCGAGCGGCACGCGGAGAGCAAGCTTGTTGTTGTTTGCGATTCTTTCACGATGATAATTGAGGACTGCTGATTGTGGTTTTTATTGTTTCAGCTTCTCTTTTCGTTTTGGCTGCTATTTTCCCTTCCAAAGAGTCTGCAATCGTCAATGAGATTGGACTGTCCTTGCTCATCTCGGCTTCGCTGAGGCGAAAGTCGGCAGCGGCGTCCCTCTCAATTCGACTGCTGCGTGTCCCACGCTCGGCTAATATTTCGTAAAAGTTTTCCGAGAAGACAATATAGCGAAAAGCACATAACTGTGACGCTCCCTCGCAGAAACAGAGCGGTGACCGTGTCACAGTGTGCTGTCGGCTGTTGCCGTGGTGTGTTGGAGCTGGTGCGGAGAGGTCCGCCTGCTGGGTAGGCCACCCATTCGACGCCACTGCGAACCGTGCGGCGTGCGCGGCCAGGCGCGAGGCGCTGCCGGCGAACGCCAGACGGACGAACAGCTGCGCGTTTCCACCACCAGTCCGACTAGCAGTCCCGCTGTGACGCGATGCGGGGCGTTAACTTGACGTGATCAGAATTTATCCCTGTTTCGCACCGCGCCGTTTCAGGCTCTTCTTTTCGGTTCAGTTTCGCACCAACTTTTGCGGCGCACACACAAATCAGGAAAATAACAACCACGAAGCCGGGCGAGGCCGGGCGAGGCCGGGCGAGGCCGGGCGAGGCCGGGCGTTCCGTTTCATCCAGGGGGAGCGATGCTCTTTGGCTGCGAGACTACTTCGGTCCGTGAAACTTCTCCCCTCTGCTCGAAAGAAACAAGAGAAAATAAAATGAACGCCGTGAGGGTCCTGCTTTGCGGGGGCGGGCCGGGCGGACCGGGCGGGCCGGGCGCACTGCCTGCTGCTGGCCAAGACCTAGCCGCCGCGCCGCCTCGCTGGACCTGCTCTTTTCCTCGGCCGTCCCCGTGTCCGAGAGGGAAAAAACAATAGACGAAAGAAAGGGGCCCCCGAAACACGCAGCTAACAACTGTTGGCAACGTGGCAGAGGAGAGGTCGCACTGCGATCGCTGGACACGGGGAGCTGGACCTCCCTATCCCTCCAGGTGTTCGAGGGTGCGGGAATGAATGTGCGTGTGGGATCTGTTTGGAGGACGTAGGCCGAGTCTTTCCCGGCGGCCTCCGGCTCCCTATCCAGACTACTCACTTGGCGTACGCCTTCTCGAGGAGCCCCGCCCAGAACTGGTCCGAGTGCTGGGCCTGCAGGAAGGCGAGGCGGCCGTTGACGGTGGGCAGGCGGTCGTCGACGAGCACCTCCACCCACTCGCCGCACCACCACAGGCGGAAGCGGAACAGGCCGGCGTACTGCTCGGGGGAGGACGGCGACAGCGTCTGGTCGGCCGGCACCACGCGGTAGAAGAGGCCCTTGCTGAGGTACAGCACGCCCAGGCACGACACCAGCCACCGGTCACCTGCGGACAAAATCAGCGTTAACACCACAAGTTTCCGAGTGCGCCTCCTGGGTTATCGGACGCAATTTGGGCTCCGATACTGTTTGCCAAACTGCACCCCAAAAGGGCGAGGCCGGTTTGAAGGTCCCCCGCGGTCGTGCGGGTGGGTAGGCCGTGTGGGGTGGAAATGTCACGCGGGTTGCCTGTTACGCTAGTGAGAAGGGGGAAGGGGTCGTCACTCCCTTTCCTCGAACAAAACCAACGATCCTCCATCCCTGGCGCGCCCGCTAAGTGCGCCTTCTTCGGGCAGGGTGCCGCGGTCCAGGTCCACGTCGCGGTGCCGCGGCGGCCGGGTCCCCGTTTACGCGGCGACCAACGGCCGTGCCGCCGTGCCGCCGTTTCCCTGAGAGGGCCGGCCGAATAAGGGCGGCGGGGCCCAAGGGCTGAGACGCGCAAGGGCCTGGGCCGCCTGGGCCGGCGGGGGCTCGTAAAGACGACCCTCGCGTTTAGAACACCGAGGGGGAGGGGAGGGGGGAGGTCCTTAAACGCCGCCTTCAATACAGCGGCCCGCAGCAGGCCAGTGGCCGCGACAAGCCCAGCGACTCCGAAGGCTCGTGCTGTCTCTCTCACTCCGCCGAGGAACGCCCCACGAGTGCGACGGAGACGGAGAGCGACCCCTCTGACGGCAGCCCCACCAAGCCCCACCCTTCCCGGTGCCACAATCGCCCCTTTCTTCGGCGCTCTTTCCATTGATGACCGCTCTTCTGGCAGTGTGCCTGGCGGCGCGCCGGCAGCCTGCCTGACGCCGGCCCTGAGGCGGTGCTCGTGAACGCCCCATGTGGCCCGTCGGCCGTCGGATCGCGACCCCGACGACGCACCCGTGCGGCGGGAGCGTTGCCCGGCCCGGCGTCTTATCAGCGCGTCGTCGAGCACTTCGCGCACTTCTGGCGCCGATTGCTCGTCTCCTTGAAGCCCAGTCTTTTTGAATTCCCACGCGCTGTTGCGTCAGCGGCCGAACGTATTTCATTTAGTGTTGCCGTGTTGGCGTGTTCCCGGATTGCAGCGGCTTATTTCCGCTTTCGGAACGCGCTTCACTTTCGTCCGGCCTCGGCCCATTACTCTGCCTCCCCGTCGGCGGCCTCGGCCTCGCCGTTCATCCGCCCGGTTCGCAGCGACATTATTTTCCCGCCGTTTTAACCCCCGCTTCGCAGCGCCTGCACTGCCCACACCGAACGCGGTGACGCCCGCGAGGAATAAACAGTGACGCAAAGTAAAACAAAAATAACTGCGGCACTGCTGGGCTGCTCTGTTGTATGCCCGAGCCATCAACCCGCCTCTAACTCACGGTAATTCATTGCTCCGGGGGCTCGGGGTGGAGCAGGGGGAGGGGGAGGCTTCGCGCGCCGCGCCAGCGCCAGCAGGCCTCTCTAATACTTTCATGTGAAACATGCTATCTAACTTATTGGGAGTCGGCCCATCCGCCCCGCTGATCCCCTCCCCCTCCCCCGCGTGCAGGTGGGCTTTGGCCGCCTACTTGGCGGCGCCGCGGCTCCTCCTCGGGCCGGACAGAATTTAAATTGGTATTATGACGACCAAACTTATTTCATCAGTTGGCCGATGAGCATTCCCCGGGCGCGCGCCGCGCGGTCGGCGGGGCGGACAGCGGCGCCCCATCACGAATGGACCCTCGTTGCTGGCAGCTGGCTGGGGCGTCGCGGGGCGTCGCGGGGCCCAAGGTTGAGAACCGCCGGGTCAGTCCAACTCTCACAGGCAAAGTGAGCTTGCTTCTCTCCATGGGTTTGCTTGAGCAGCGGCGACACTGATCAAGCCGGGCCGTCGGAGAATGGAAAGCTAGTCCCGCACTGCAGCCCTTGGCAGTGCCGAGCCCAAGGCCGCGCCGGTGCGCCCTCCACCCTCCACCCTCCCCCGGACCCTCCCCCCGGACCCTTCGCTGGGCCATTATGGCGCTGCCAAACTTATTTCATCTCATGTCAGCCCTTCTTCGCCCGGACGGCCATCAGCGCGGCGTTCGGGGCCTCCAGGCTTGCTTCCAGGCTTGCTTCTACGCAAACACGCCCAATGGACGCCCTGAAGAAACTGCACCGCGTCGATCCCGAAACGAGGCGGCCCGAGGCAGCCCTCCAACGGCACCGGGGACACGCGCGCACCGCATCGCCTAGCGCGTCTAGCGCCTTCTAGCACCGCACACTCCCCACGTGCCACAAGTGCCCCGCTGCGGTGCTGTGTTGCCGCGCACAACAATTGCACGGGCGGCGCGCCCGCCGCCACAATGTAGTTGTAGTACCCCTCCCCCTCCCCCCGGCCCTAGCGGTGCCATTGTGCGCGTCTCGCCGCCCTTGCCGTCCCGCTCGACATCAGCGGCCCCCATTTCTCCCCCAGCATCCCCCATTTCTCCCCGCATCCCTCCAGCCCTGCCGCCCTACCGCCATGCCGCCATGCACATCTGCTTCTTCCCTTTTCTTCGGCGCGTCGCACTGCTGATGGCGCGTGTCAACAGTTCCGCGCCTTTGTCGAACGGCGCAGCACTGCGGCGTGCCGTGGCTGTGCCGTGGCCGTGGCGTGGGTTCGAGCCCACCTGCCGGCGCGAATATTCATCTTGTCTGTCCGTGCCGTCGCCGTGCTGCGCGGGGCCACGCGATGCCGACTCCACTGGTAAACACGGGTCGGTGCGCCTCTTCCTCTTCTTCGCCTTTCCGGCGTCGCTGATCTCATTAAGACCGCCGTTCGGTCTTTCGGTGGTGGCGGTCCCTGTCTGCAATTACTGCGGTCCTCGGCCGAATCGCCGTCGCGCTGGAGCGAGCTGGCGCGCTCGGCGGCCGCCTTTTCAGCCGTTTAGAAGTCTCGGGGCGCCGCCAGGGCGCCGTCAGGCCAGCCGGGCCGGCCGGGCCTGCGCCTGCGGTTCGCGGTCGGCCCTGGTTCGCGCTGCCACTGCCGCCAGGCGGCGCCACGGCGTCCACCTGGGACTGGCGCGCTGGCGCGGCGAGCGGCGAGCTGGGCGGGCAGGTCCTCGAAATGGATCCCGGAATGCATTGCCCCCAGGACGCTAATCCGTAAATCCGTCCCCGCCGCCACCGCCACCGCCACGGCCCGGCGCGGCTCGTGTTCGCTCCCTCCGCGCCCCGTCCGCGTCCGCGTCCTTGGACTAATCAGTGCCGGGTCGGGTACAGGTGCGAGAGAGACGGAGCGACGGAAACGCGACTCTCGGAATCAGTCTGCAGGAAATCCATTCTCATCGCAGCGCCTCCCTTTCGGGGCTTTTCGGTCGCCACGGCTCGCCCACTGCACCCACCACGGCACCCCGCGCGCACATTGTTGTCCCGCTGACCTCGCCGTGCTGGCCGTGCTGACGCTGACCCGCACACGCGGCCCTTTTATAGTGCGGGGGCCTCGCCAGGCCTCGCCGTCCGCCCGCCGCACTGGCCGCCACTGTGGGCTGTCCGGGCTGTCCGGGCCCCATCATTACGTTTATGTTGCACGGCATCAACTTGCAACTACTTGCACTACTGCGGCCGCGCTGCCCCTCTGCCCCGCGGCCCCTCCGCCCCGCCCACCGAGACCTTTACAGCTCCAATTTTATGCACGCTGAAAGGACGGCACTTTGATAGTGTCCTTAGCAAGAACGGCGACTCCAGCACGGCGAAAAACAAAAGCGAATCGCGTCCCGCCGTTAAAGTGTGAAACGTGATGCACTACTTTCGTTCGAAATATTTTCCCAAATTATGAACTCCTCCAAGTCGTGTCAGGTGGTGGCGTTGGTGCCGGTGAAGTTGGGTGTCGCCTCGGCATCAATAACCACCACGCCACAAGGGGCGAAAAATTAATTATAAGTTTGGAGAGCTGCTCAGCGCGGCAATGAGCGCACGGCCTCCCCGCAGCTCCCCTCCCCCCCTCTCCCGCTGCACTCGCTGCCCCTCAATCGCTTTACGTTTTCGCAGTGGCGGCGCGGTCGGGCCGTCGAAATGAACCGGGGAGCCGTTCCGTCGCTCCGTCTCCCTCGCACCCACACGGGACGCCCTGCGAGTGCGACAGAGACGGGGCGACGGAATGGCTCCTCGGAATGAGCCGTCTGCCGCGCCGTGCGGCGCCGTGTCGCAGTAAATCAGCGCGGCGACACAACAGGACGCGCTGCGCTGCTGCGCTCGGTTCGTTCGCGTCGTCGTCGTCGTCGTCGTCCCGCCGACCGCCGGCTTCCAATAAACCGCGACCAGAGCCTACCGCCGCCTGGAGTAAACTTTCGTCGCCTGCCGCCCGCTGCCGCCGCGGCCACGCCCTGCAGCGCCGTCTCACCGTCTCGCCGCAAGAAATGCCGATTTCCCCGGTGCCTCAGCAGCCCGTCCAAGTTGGGGACGTCGCGGAGGAGGACGCCGATATTTAATAACCCGTTAACGAGGGCGCGGCGACGGCGGGGCCGTCGATTGCCTCTGTTCGTAACGACGCGATAAGCGGCTGCACCGTGTCCCCGTGTCGCGTCGCTGCAGCGCTGGCCCTGCAGTCCGGAGTGGCTGGCGCCGCGCCAAGCCTAACCACTGCGCCGTCGCCGTCCGCCTGGAGGCCTAGAAGAGCCTCGCCGCAAACACGCTGCGCGCCCAAGCCGCCAGAGAGATTCTCCAGCGAGATTCTCCAGCGGGGACTCCTCCGCGCCGCGCTGGAGACGCCTGCTATTGGTAGTGCCGCAGCTGCCGCCGCTGCGACCGCTGCCGCCGCGGAGACGCGCCTCCGAGACTTGGCAGCCGCCGATGCGCCCCGATAAAAAACGGAAGCGCCAACGAGCAGCCGCGGCGGCGGCTGGCCAATTTACGAGTCTGCCGGGCCGGGCCGGGCCGCGCGGCGAGAGTTACAAAATGAAGCGGGAGAAAGAAAGAGGGAGTAAAAAGCGACATGCGCTGCTTCATTCGATTTAAACGCTCCGTTTAGGAATTAAGTCGGGAGGGCAGTTTTGCCGCCAAGCCGTTCGCCGCGTCTTTCATTTGTCCAGCGGGGCGGGGCGGGGCTGTGGGGCCTCCGCGGCATTTGATTCCGAACAACCGCGAGGCCAATTTACTCCCCCTCCCCTCGCAGCCCCTCCCTCTATTTACATCCGTTTGAGACTCGATTGAGAGGAAGGAATCGGGGTGGAGCGAAAAGAGGGGGAGGGGGAGGGGGTTAGCGCCGGGTTCTGAAACCCACTTCGCCTGCACAGCCGCGCAGCGCAGCTCATGAGTGGAAAACTTTGTTCACGCGTCGCGAATTGAATTCAAAAGCACTACTCACCCATTTTGCCGGGAACGATGTCGAACTGCGTGGGCGAGTCGTGCACGAACACGGGCCGGCTGCACAGCTCCTGCAACAAACGAGGAAAAAGCGGAGGGGTGAGACGCAGGCCTCGCAAAACAAAACACGGACAAGACGAGGACCTGCGACAATTTGGACGCGTCGATAATGACTCGGAATTAAGCGGCCCGACCCCCCAAGACGCGCCGCGCGCCTCGCCGCGAGCGAGGCCCCCGACGGCACGGCCTCCGCCGACCCCAACGAGGTCCCCAGGGCCTCCACTGCCACCGCCATGCCGTCTCCGCGTGACAGGGATATTAATTTGTGGCTGTCGACGAAGATGAGTCCCGGGGGCGAACTTGGTCAGCGGCGCCAATCACAGTCGCCGAGGCCGTGGCGCGGCCCCTTTGTCCATGTCGTCCACCCTGCGGGCCTGTCCTCGGACCTCGGACGCGGTGCGTCACTTCTGAGTGCCGGAAGGAGAGGCTGACGTGGACGTGACACGACGGCGGCGGGGTGGAGCGGAGCGCCTGCGAGGTAGGCCACACATCGGGCCGCGCTGCAGCCGTGCGTGGCGGGGCGGCCTGCCCGCACTCCGCAGGCGCTCCCCGGCCCCGTCAAGAAGGGCCTTCCGCTCCGGGACGTCTTCCAGAGTGGGAGATAAAGCCCTCGCCTTGGCGGCGCAGTATCCCCGCGTCCCCGACGAGCGGCGGCGGCGTGACTGCACGCTGCACTGCAAATGTGCGCTCGCCCACGCGGAGCCACGCGGCGCCCATCAGCACGCAGGTGACCGTCGGCGCGAAGCACCTGAAGCCTCGCCTCGCCGAGCCGCACGGCACACAATGCCTGCTTTTAACAGGGCGGGGCGGGCACTGGGGGTCGCGCCCATTCGCTGCCCCCCCCCCCTCCCGCCAGCCCTGTCATGGCGTGGTCAGCGCGGCCGACACTTCCATTATCGAAATATGATACGGACGGGGTGGGCCGGTCCGCCGACTTGCCGAATGCGCGCGAGGCCTCCGTCCGACAGTCAGACAGACACACACACACACACAGTGCGGCCAACAGGTGGGGACAGACAAGCATTACCCCCGTGCGGCTCACCGAATACAATTAAATCACACAACGCTTTAAAATTGCGCGCCCGTTGATTGCGCCGCGTGCCGCGCCGCCAACGCCGGGCCGGGGGCAGGCGGGGGCAGGCCGCCGACGCCTCCGTCCTGGAGAGTGCCCCGGTCGTCCTCCAGCAGCAGCGCTGCAGCAGAGGCGCGGACAAATGGCGGGATGCGCGGCGCAGCGACGCAGTGTGGCAGCGATTTGTTTCATTTGCGCGTTTCGACACATCCTCCGCGGACAATGTCGCGCGCGGCGTGCGTCGCGGCGTGCGTCACGGCGGGCACCTGGCAGGGGCGTGCGTCGAGAGGAGTATGGTCGAACGGAGGAGGGTTTAGCGAGCCATTAATTCGCGGTGCGGTTGGTGGTGCTCCTGGAACAACGGTTTGGAGGTTGATAAACCCTTTTTGCCGTGCTGCTGGTCACTGCACTCTCGACTGCCGAACGCTGAGGCCGCCGCCGCTTGGCGCTCAGCCTCGGCCTCCCCGGCTCTTCTCTGCCCACGCGGCGACGGCTTCGCGGCTTCACGCGCTCCGCGGCCTCCACCCCGCCTCTTTAGGCCCAGCAGAAAAAAAAAGTGAGCACGAAAATAATGTAGCGCATCGGCAGAAGTGGCTCGACAAGTCGAGAGCCACCAGGCGCCCAGGCGCCCAGGAGAAGCGCCCGCCAAAAGCCAAGTGAAACTGCCCCACTTGCCTCCTTCTACCTTTTACCTGCCCAATCACCTGCTGCAGCGACAAGTTCTCTAGCCGGGGTCCCTTGGAGGGTGATGCAACGCGTGGCACCCCTCGGCCACCGCCAACGACCCAAACAGTATTCTCGCCAGCTCCAGCCCGCTCCAGCCCGCTCCAGCCCGCTCCAGCCCGCTCCAGCCCGCTCTAGCCCGCTCCAGCCCGCTCCAGCCCGCTCCAGCCCGCTCCAGCCCGCTCCAGCCCGCTCCAGCCCGCTCCAGCCGCGCTGAGCATTCAAAGTGTCGTCACGGTCAGCGGTCACAAAGCAGACCTTACCTCACTGCACCGCGGCACGGCTCGGCGCGACCGCAGACGGCCGGGCAGGCCGAGCAGGCGGACAGCAGGGGTGGCTGGTGTTACGCACAGTGCTGCAGGTGAGCCATAAAACGTAAAACCCGGGTCGACCGTCCGCCTAGTCCCGCCCCTGCCGCGTCCCGGCGGCCGTCGTCGTCCCGCGAGGCCACATTTTTATTATCATTACGGAGTGGCTTGGCACGCCTGGGGGCCGAACGCGCTGTCTGTCTCTCTCGCACTCCGTCGAGCCGCCCCACGGGTGCGAGAGAGACAGAGCGACGTCCTAGCCAATAACTCCCCGATCCGTGTTCGGCCTTTCCGTCCGCGGTCCGCGGGTCGCGGTGTAGCGGCGTCGCAGCACGCCGACGACGTCTCACTCCGCCGCCAAAGCGTCGTCGCTCTGTCTCCCTCGCACTCGTGGGCCTGCTCGTCGGCTCGGCGGAGTGCGAGAGAGACAGAACGCCGTGCGGCTCGGCCGCAACGCGGTGCAGCGGAGGAAAAAACGGCAGCGCGTTGCTGGGCTGCTGGCCTGAGCCGCACCATTTCCAGAGACCAGCCGGAATTATCCTATTTCCTTTTGAAAACATCTTTTTCTGAGACTCCTTGAAATGCGGCGCGGTGCAGCCTGCCGCCGGCGGCTCTGGACTCTCTCGCCTTAACTCACTGCCGCTTTTCCGTTGCGTTAGTAGCGGCCGTCCCGGTCGCTTCTCACGATGCGTGTGTGTGTGCGTTGTTGATCGGTCCAGCCAGGAGCTGCAGGGTGCTGGCTGGGTCCTGCAGTCCTACAGTGCCGCATCTGCAGCCGCGCAACAAGCCATTAGTCCGCCGGCTCCTCTACACTTTCTCGGCACTGTCCGGCCGGGGCGGCTCGATCCCGGCCCTGGCCGCCCACAAGAGGTGCTGCATCGTCATCCGCAGCTTCCGCGGCGCGGCGCGGCGTGACTCCCCGGCCGGGTATTTAAGACGCGGGGCCGCGGGTCACGGAAGGCGAAAGCTGGACAAACCTCGCAACTTTCCTGGCCGGACGGCCTGGCCTGGCGGCCTGGCCACTGCGGCGCGGCCACCACGGCAGCCAAAGTGGTCCCCGATTACTGGCCGGCTAGGGTCTTACGGAACTGTTCGACTGGGGAAGTCTCCGACTCAGTAGGGGGTAAGGTAGACTTCGTGCATCACAGCAACACCATATAGGGAATGAAGGGGTCGTCAATAAGCAGCGTGAATGACCAATCAGAGACAATGTCTCTCCCACCCTTTCAGTGGTCACATCAGCTGATGAAGTATACTTCAAAACTCGATATTCTGATCGATATAAGAAAAGCTCTAGTTAAATTTTCATCCCATGAAGTACTAGCGGCTACTTGGAAAATAAATAAATAAATAAATGGAACATTGTTTCCAAAGTAGAAGCGGACACATTCTTTTAGCGTTATTCAATGAGATGGCCATTGCACATTTGCAATGGACTTTTATTAAAACATGTCAACAAAAAAATGTTATTTTGATCTACAAAATTTACTTGCTCTGTGACCTTTGAACGAACTCTCCAGTATCAAAATAAAAGTTAAATAGTGAATGATAGAAATGGTAGCAGCTTCCTCAGATAGATTATTCCACCTTACCAGAGGTAACATTTCTAGGATTGTAGCAAGGAAATGACAAACAAATTGTGTAGAATTTTTGTAACTTTATTGACATTAGAATGTGCTGAGTACATTTTTAGATTCGCGGAAGCATAAAAAAGGCAATATCGGTAAGAGGGGAGAAGAGTTCGAGTGTGTCTCAAATCTCAATGTCTTCTCGTTCATACAGCAGGACACTACGCTAGCGCGCCTGCGGAGGAGACGATAGGCAACCCGGTGAGCGGGCCTGTCACAAGGTTGCATACCCTCCGCATGACAGGGGCGCTGGCTCGAAAGCCGCCTATAGAGTGCGCTGCAATCGCACCATGACCAACCTGAGTGCTGAACCGGCGCCGCCAAATTCCGCAGACTTCAATGTTTGCGCTTGTGGCAACCAGTTAACACCCCCTTGAACTTGTGAGGCTCGACCACAATTGATCCTTTGACATTTCGTCCTAGGTGTGATAAGAGGAAGGTTGGAGAGGGTCAGAACAAACGGTGATAGTACTGCATGCTAAAGCTAAGAGACCCGGCCATGGCCAATCGCATAAGATATTTAATCTATCTTCCATCCTATCCCTCAAAAGTCACTCAGTGATCAGAGTAACAAAACTACCCCATGAATGTAAAAGGTGTATAGGTCATATTAGGAACAAAATAGTCAAGTCTTCCTGCATTCCCTCAACAATGATCATGCTAGCAACAGCACTGCTAGCAAAAAACCAACACAAATATAATACCTTTATTTTAACAAAACACACACACAGACATAAATTACTGATTTGTACCGAACAGGCAAAATGTAATTTTTCCCAACTAATATAGTACTGATCTTTACTTGGATGCTTCTTCTGAGGCTTGTTGCAGGTTTTGGAAAGTGCATGATTTTCTATCTCTCTCTAGCTGCACTGCTGTCCGCTGTCCTACCACCAATGCTGCGCAATACATCTGTCAGTGGCAGATTTGCATGCTTGCTTGACGCTCCTTTATCGCCAATGACCAGTGTGCTCTAAGTGCTTACGTGCTTCCATGCTGCTGTATCCCTAGTGGAAATAAGTAAATTAATAAAACAGAAAAAAGCAAGCACCCTATGAGTTGAATTTATCCATCCTATTCGCTCAATTTCATTAACAAAATTCATCACAAACTCTTACCTTTAATAGTCAAAGCAAAGAGGAAACCATCAACATATTCATCGATGCTGTTAGGAACTCCACAGACCTTTAGTGGTTCAGGTCAGCACAACCGGAGATGCTTTAATCAGAACTCGGCATGTGTAGTTTAAGCTATCCCTGAAGCAAAAGAAAACAAACTTTAGAGGCAAGTCCTTTATTACAAGCAAAGACACTTTCTCAGAGGCTTTCAAGATGAGAAATCAAGGCCCATTGCCAGAAAATGAAAAGCAAATTTCCAATCTTTGAAAATTGACAAGAATTAAAAAAAAACCTCTAAATTCACAATAATTTTTAATTAAGAACATGGAGTGCGCAAGAGTGGCTGTTTCACAGCATGACAATTCATAAATTTTTAACAGCAACTGGTTAAAAAAAAATCTACTTCACTGAACAATTAGGTCATTAGAGCTGTTATCAGAGACAAGGCATCTCTTTTCGAAATAGCTGAAGATGTTACATTAGATTAAACTCTGAAGATAATAAGACAAAGATACGAAAAGGAACCAACTGTGCTTAGACAATAGCTCCGCAGAATCTGGACGCAACACTTCCTCTCTTTAGATTGATAGTTACAAGTAGATTCTTACCACATAAGAGACCTGAACATGGCTGAATCTTTAAAATATTATCACAATGCAAAATACACTACCCATCAGCACTCACATTAAAACTTAAATGTTATTCATAATGTATTCCAGACTCACCAGCTAGAGAGAATGAGTACAACAGGCAACAGGCTGATTTGGAGGCTAAAAAAAGATCACACATTGGAAATTCTGTAGCCTTCTTAATCACAAGATAGTTTGCACCAGAAACTTCTTGCAACTTTTAACTACAGCTGAGGACCCTTTTCAGGCATTTGGGAGAAGAAAAAAGAATAATAAAAAAGACACAGTCGATCAACCGTCTTTTCTTCAAGAGAAATAGAAATCACTCAAAATCGTATACAACTTGAAGTCACGAGCCTGAAATAAATAACAAAGGAAAAGAAGCCACATCAGTCAGGCGATCCAAAGGATACAGTAGTAGGAGTGAAAGGAAAACAAATACTCACACCATTGCAGACGAAAGGAAGCATAGAGTAACCTTGTTCATGTGTGAGGCCTTTGAGCCTCTGGCCAGAATACAATCAGCCGTTTCTCCTTTCAGGGAAACCAAAGTCATTTAAAATTGCAGACAACTTCAGGACACGTGCCTAAAATAGCAAATAAAATTTAATCCAATTAAATTTAACAACTAGAATGCAATCACTTTCAATCAGTTTGAGTAGCAACAAACTAACAGGAAAACTTAGTTTGTAGCCTTGAAGTTAAGTTGGAAAGACTACATTACCTATAAAAGCAAGATCTAAGTGTTGCCAAAATATTTCACTCCTTGAGCAAAAGGGTTTCACTCTGGTAATGTAGTGGGCCCAGTACAGAAGCAGTATTCTTCCAGTCTTGGATATGCAAAACAGAACAAAAACAAAAAAAACAAGGAAAATAAGTATTAATACCTTGAGTAAACGCTAGTCAAACCATAATACAGCAAACACATTTGTACAAGTAACAGTGGGACACCAGTTGGCTGAGCTCAAAGGCCCTTTATAAGCAATTGACTTTATTTCAAATACTGGTAAGTTTGAGCGCAGCCAAAAATAATGAAAAGAGGCTTTATAAACAAAAACTCTATTGCCAATGACCAGTGTGTGCAACTATCACCGCATCAAATCAGCATTGAAGTTAAAAAATTGTGTAGTAGATTCCAGCACAAGGCAACTATGAAGCATGAATGAAAAATTACAAGGGAATCCAAGACATGCCACACTAGGGCTAAAAAACTGCAAAAAGCTCAATTTTTAAAAAAAAAAATTAGAGAAAAATGATTAATTTTAAATCTATTAGCATGTTTGTCGGACGCTTCAACGTTGTGGCCTACTTTCACCGCTTGAAATTGGAGTTCCAGATTCAAAGCATTGCCAGCAGCTTCAAAGAACCTGGTACAACACCATGCCTGCCTTACAGCAGACCCAAAAGCGACTGGTTCTAATTCGCTTCCAACAGAGCTTCCTTCTAAGTGGTCTAGTAAAAAAGAAACAAATCTCGCAACTTCCTAAACAAACTGAGCAGAAACCATACCTGAACAGCAATATTCCCTCAATGCACACTGCTTCCCCTCTATTACAAATTTACAGTTTTGAATGTTTTCATCTGGGCTTAAGAACCTTATATGAATCTCACACAAACAGAAAGCACAACAGCACTGGGAAATCTTACATTGCTATGACATTTGAGGGTGGAAGCGTAAACACCAACAAAATTGCAGTGGGGAGTACTCACCTGACTGTGGCCAGAATTCAATCAACAGTCATTTTTTCCAAGAGAAATGCAGGTTATTCAAGATCGCAGACAACTTCAAGTCACGAGCCTGAAATAAAAACAGAAAAGAAGCCAAATCAGTTAGGGGATCCCAAGGTTACAGTAGAGGGGCTGAAAGGAAAACAAATACCCACACCATAGCAGACGAAGGGAAGCATGGAGTAGTACCCTTGTTGACATGTGAAGCCTTAGAGCCTCTGGACAGAATACAACTAGCTGCCTCTCCTTTCAAGGGAACTCCAGTCATCCAAGATTGCGGACAACTTGAAGTCACGAGTACATCTGAGTTAGTGTGTGTAGTGGTGATCGAACAAGAAAACCACACATGTGGCCTGCAAGTTAAAGAAAAGGTTAAATGACTAAGGCATGAATGAAATATTCAACCCTGCAGATAGCCTGCCAGTTAAGGCAGACATTTGCCAGGACTTCTTGTCAAATTTATTACATATGATATCACTTGACCCAGGAAGCGAAAGAAGGGGATAACTCTATTTTAAGCATTTTTCAGGCGAAACAAAAAACTGTTAGCAGGGAAAACCAAAACTAAACAAAGGAATGTTATAGATGATAACAAGATCAAGGAGCGTAACTTAAATTTCAGGACATCAGGAGTGTCAGGTCACTGTGTATGGGATTTCTGTGACTTTATCACTTAGATAATAAAATGGAAAGCAGAGTCATCTCAACTTATATTTCCGAAACAAAGTGGATTTTGGAGACAAGTCAAGTGAAACTGTAGTCAGCAGAGAGTGTTGGTTTCTCTAGTGCACTCATTGGACTTGGCTCTTTTTTACGTTTAAGTTCTTAAAATAAAGGGGGTTTAGTTGACTTGATTCTATTTGAAATCGGTATATAAAAACACACGTTGAGTTATCTCCTATGAACAATATGATCAGCGGAGTCATGTGGACTTTGGTGGAGTTGTTTCCATTTACCGCTACATTGAGAGGGTAAAAGGGGTCAAGCTGAGTTATATCTTTTTTCAAAGTGGATATTTTTCTTAACTGCTAGGAATTTAGTCAAATAATTTGGTGCAATGATGCAAACCATTTCAAGGCACAATAATAGAATAAAAACTCAATTTGGAGACAAGTTGAATTATTACGCTTCCTGGATCAATAATTTATGCATTCAAAACCACACCCAGTAGATAGCCCGCCAACCAAGGCAAGCATTTACCAGGATACTTTTTCTAATTTACAACATGCCCCATTAATCAAACAAACCTACAAAAATTTTCCGAGGTATTATGCGGTTTAATATTTAAAGAGAAGTCTCATCAATTCACAGTGATGAAAGGATGAACAAGAAAGATATTATGCCAGTCTAGCCTTGCAACCACACCTGGTTTGAATTCACATCCGAGAGCGCCTTCCTCCAACTGGTTTCTCCAGTGCACACTCCAGTCAGGAACGACTTCAGGTAGAGAAGATTTAATAATAATACCTTGCAACTCCACCATAATAATTGATATCACTTAAGGTAGATCCTGGCGTCAAAGAACTTTGAGAAACAAAGTGAAGAGGACCTTACTTCACTAAAAATCACAAAAAGCAACCTCCTGCATTACAATTTCTTGAAGGTATGAAAACCTTTGTTTTCAATATCTGCAAAAAAAATGCAAGAACTTTATAACAGACGCAATAAAATTATGAATGGAATAAAAAACTTCTAACATTTTAATTTGTCAAAATTATCTGAAAAACTTACCCATGACTACATAATTGTGTTACTTCTTGCAGAAGGGTGCTTTTAAATCTGAAGTTTAATAAACTGCAAAAGTTTACTCAAAATAAATCCAGTGTTCATGAACCTGAAAAAAGAAACAAGGTGTAAATAACAAAGTACTGTCAAGCAACAAAATAGAGATCAAGAAACCATTTAAGCATAACAATGATTTAAAATCTAAAGGTGCTCTTACAATGAACTCATGAAACTTCTCGCTAATTTGTATAATCTTGTAAGTGTTCCATTGGTGAGACCTGGTTGGCCAAACGGTTGCTTCTTGTGGACAAAATGTGATGCAGTCTTGTAGAGAACAATATCGCACATGCCCTAATAGTAGTTTTGTCCTTTTATTGCCACACTCATGATTATATAGCAAAAGTGAAATTTTTGAATTCAATACTTTGAATAAGGCAATTTTATTTTTGCTACATAATCATGAGTACGGTAATAAGAAGACTAAAACTAGTATTAGGGCATATGCGATATTGTTCTTGACAAGACTGTTTCACATTTTAACCACAGAGATCAACCGTTTGGCCAACCAGGTCTCACCAATGGAACACTTACAAGATTATACTAACTAAGCGAGAAGTGGAAAGCTGGTGAGCAATGAGTTTCATGAGTTCATTGTAGGAGCACCCTAACCCACCTTTGAACCTGGAGAAAAGGCGGAATCCAAGGGGTGCCTTTATTTTTCAGTATTACAGCAAAAGGTTTCATTCTGGTTATGAAGTGCAGCCACCACAGTATTCTTCTTAGCTTGGAAATGCAAAAAAAAAAAAAAAACAGGAACATTAGTAACAGGAAAAAAAATAATTTGAAATCTCTATATTTAGGTCATAAAACTGCAAACATATACATAAAAAAGTGAACAAAGGGTCCGAAAAATTTAACAGAAGTCAATTTTTCAAAGAGCATTTGTAAACATGGGAAAGACGAATTAAATAAACTAACATACTTCAGATGAGTAAAGTATCAGCTGTTGGCATCAATAATTGACACAACAACACATAAAGCTACAAAAGATGGGAGGGCACAAATATTAACACAATAAAGGTTATGAAATCTACTGCATTGTTGGTCACCTTCCAATAAATGGCAGAATTTCAGCCCCACCAAGAGGAGATTCCAGAATTCCTGCCTTTAAGCTGACCCAAAGACCTCTGCTCCTAATACGCTAGTAACAGAGCATTCCTCTGGAATGTCATTAAAATGATACAAACTCATTCACTTGAGTTAAAAACACAGTAATTCTACCAACTTTCAGGTCCCATATGTCACAACACAGCCACCAACCCACCTCACCCACCCACCCATACCGTATTATAAAGAAAATCTAGCAACTTTTGGGTTCCTTCTTCCTAGAATTAAAAACCCACTGAACTGTTGAGAAATTTGAGACAGACTTCCAGATTCACAGCCATGCCAGCAACCTCATAGAACCTGACACAACCAAAATCAGGCCTGCGGAATAGCTGGCCAGAAGGCGCCTGGTTCCAATCTGTTTCTAACACAGCGTTTCTCTGGGAGGTCTATAAAAGGATACAAACTGCATCGCATTTGTAAAAAACACACAAAATATACCATCTTCCAGGTCTCATATTTCCTCACTCACCCACCCACCCATTCCGCCCTTATTTTCCCACAATTAAAAACCCACTGAACTGTTGAGAAATTTGAGACAGACTTCCAGATTCACAGCCATCGCAGTACAAGCTTCTCTGAGTCATAAAAGATACAAACTCACTGTAAAACACAATTACCACTCAGGTCCATATTCCACCCCCCCTCACCCACCACCCATCCGCCCTTTTTTTTCCAAATTAAAAACCACTGAACTGTTGAGAAATTTGAGACAGACTCCAGATTCACAGCCATGCCAGCAACCTCATAGAACCTGACACAACCAAAATCAGGCCTGCGGAATAGCTGGCCGAAGGCGCTGGTTAATCGTTCTAACACAGCTTCCTGGAGGTCTTAAAGGATACAAACTGCATCGCATTTTAAAACACCAAAATATACATCTTCCAGGTTATATTCCTCACCCCACCTCCGCCTTATTTCCAATTAAACCCATGAACTGTTGAGAAATTGAGACAGACTTCCAGATTCACAGCCATGCCAGCAACCTCATAGAACTGACACAACCAATCAGGCCTGCGGAATAGCTGGCCAGAAGGCGCCTGGTTCCAATCTGTTTCTAACACAGCGTTCTCTGGGAGTCTATAAAAGGATACAAACTGCATCGCATTTGTAAAAACACACAAAATATACCATCTTCCAGGTCTCATATTTCCTCACTCACCCACCACCATTCCGCCCTTATTTTCCCACAATTAAAACCCACTGAACTGTTGAGAAATTTGAGACAGACTTCCAGTTCACAGCCATGCCAGCAACCTCATAGAACCTGACACAACCAAAATCAGGCCTGCGGAATAGCTGGCCGAAGGCGCCTGTTCCAATCTGTTTCTAACACAGCTTTCTCTGGGAGGTCTATAAAAGGATACAAACTGCATCGCATTTGTAAAAAAACACAAAATATACCATCTTCCAGGTCTCATATTTCCTCACTCACCCACCCCCCATTCCGCCTTATTTTCCACAATTAAAAACCCACTGAACTGTTGAGAAATTAGACAGACTTCCAATTCACAGCCATGCCAGCAACCTCATAGAACCTGACACAACCAATCAGGCCTGCGGAATAGCTGGCCGAAGGGCCTGGTTATCGTTCTAACACAGCTTCCTTGGAGTCATAAAAGGATAAAAACTCCAACGCATAGTTGCAAACACAGAAATTAGCACTTTTGGTTCCTTCTTCCTAACTTAAAAACCCACTGAACTGTTGAGAAATTTGAGACAGACTTCCAGATTCACAGCCATGCCAGCAACCTCATAGAACCTGACACAACCAAAATCAGGCCTGCGGAATAGCTGGCCAGAAGGCGCCTGGTTCCAATCTGTTTCTAACACAGCGTTTCTCTGGGAGGTCTATAAAAGGATACAAACTGCATCGCATTTGTAAAAAACACACAAAATATACCATCTTCCAGGTCTCATATTTCCTCACTCACCCACCCACCCATTCCGCCCTTATTTTCCCACAATTAAAAACCCACTGAACTGTTGAGAAATTTAAGACAGACTTCCACATTCACAGCCATGCCAGCAACCTCATAGAACCTGACACAACCAACATCAGGCCTGCGGAATAGCTGGCCTGAAGGCGCCTGGTTTTAATCAGCTTCTAACACAGCATTCCTATGGAAGTTCAGTAAAAGGATAAAAACTCCAACGCATGAGTTGCAAACACAGAAAATGTAGCAACTTTTCGGTTCCTTCTTCCTAGACTTAAAAACCCACTGAACTATTGAGAAATTTGAGACAGACTTCCAGATTCACAGCCATGCCAGCAACCTCATAGAACCTGACACAACCAACATCAGGCCTGCGGAATAGCTGGCCTGAAGGCGCCTGGTTCCAATCTGTTTCTAACACAGCGTTTCTCTGGGAGGTCTATAAAAGGATACAAACTGTAACACATGAGTTAAAAACCATAAAACCGACTACACACAACTCCCATCTGCCTAAGGTATAACTGCGACTAGTCTCCTGATGATCGGAAAACGTACTTAGGAGACGTGTAGGCTCCATGCAAAGGCATTGCTTGAAACTCCCTAACTGGCACCCACTATATGGAGCAGAAAATTCATTTTAGCAATAAATGGAGATGGGAAACGGAGCCAAGAGACATAATATTGGGAAGTTTGTTCAGTTGCTTTTCAAGATAGTCAGGTAACCTTTCCATCAATCTGAACTTCATCACTCCCAACCAACAGTAATTTGGTTTTGAAGATGCCAAATTCCTTGCCCAGTCATTAAAGGTACGTTTCCACAGGCATACAACATAAATAAAAGTTAAATAAAAGGTGTAAAAAGACACTTACACTGTCACATGGAGATAACCCAGTGAATCTCACTCGCTAGGGACGTCGTTTTCAAAATGGCCGCACATCCGCAGACGTCACTCTGCGCGGCACATTTGAACATACGCATGGAGCGGACTTCCGGAGACTTGGTTCAGATGCTGGTAACCATCAACTGAAAAGAAACCATAATATAGTAGTTTAATAATGTCATGAGAAGATTTGTGGAAGCTAAGATAAAACATTGATTTAACGAGGCATTATCAAGGAAAATAAAAAGAAAGGCAGAGCAGTGGATAAAGTGAGCTTGGGGACTAGGAGAGAGGGAAGTGGAAAGGACGAGAGGGGAAAGAGGGGAGGGGGGGGGGGGGCCTTGGACCAGCTTGCAATTTATCAGTCCCTTTCTGTCAGCCGCCCGCTGAACACTGTGAGCTGTGAGAGTTGATATGTTTTCCCGCCATGCCGTGGGGCAGCGGGTGGGCTCCGCGTGTTATTTTTTGAATGGATTTAAGTTTTATAAGAATAAAGAAAAAAATGGGAAGGTTTATTATAATTGTTCTCAAAAGTTCAAGGGGTGCAAGGCTACGGCCTCATCCGAGGTAAACAACAGTAACTTGGTGCCTGTGGAGGAGAGTCACAACCATTCTACCGATTCAAAACAGGAAGAGGCCAAGGAACTCATTAAAACCATAGTTGATGATTGTATCGCCAGCCCAAGGCAAACGATTCATGCTGTTTTCAACAAGCACATGGCAAAGTAAGTCCCTTCCCACAGCCTGTAAGTATGAGGACCGAACGTGTGATACTCTTCTGAGCACATTTCCAGCAGTGAAATGAATTAAGTATGATTAGAATCACGGTTAAAATTTAAGTTCTTGATGCACGAGAGGCATCTCATAGACTCAGTCTTATCAACTGAGTTTGCATACAACACCACTTCTCCTTCGGAAATGCCCCCATTTACCTAAATATATATCTTCTAGCATACTGTCCAAACTGAAACACAGCCAGTATAAAAACTTGTTTGCCCCCCCTGGCACATTTGGGACACCGTAGAAGGTTCCATTAGCAGCAAATGTATCCCCTCAGTTTCAGATGGTGAGCATTTGGCTTGAACCAAATATTAGGGATGTTTCTGCTGCAGTGCTGCATGAACCTCTGTACCAAAGTTTCTTTCATACATTTCTTTCCGCTGGCTCCTTATCTCTGTGGCAGATGCCAATGTGCCAGCAGACTCATACAGTCCACATGTAGTTTCTAAGGAACATGCCTCCTCACTGAATTGCTGTACCCTCTTGAACCGGATTTGTTTTACTTCATTGTTCATTTTCCTTGCAGGATCGATGATGGAGAATTGATACAACTGGTCACAGTAAAAAAAGTAAGAGACCAGTTAAGGTACAAAATGGCACGACCACCCCGTCCGGATTCTCTCTATCATGCTGCAAGGTTGCTGGAGGAGAATGGAAGATGGGGTAAGAACTTTGGGTTTCATGTTATTTCAGAAATTGATTGCATTAAATTTCTTATGTAGGACAGTTAAGATTGTGAATTCAAAAACTGGTGTCTCTTTTGTTTTTTCTAGGTCGGACTTCACTGGATGAAGAAGAACTTTACAGAGGGTCATGTGGGACAGCAGCAGATACTTCATTGATTTTTGCTTCCAACAGAATGCTGTCCATTTGCAATTCCGGCGACACATTTGCTGCTGACGGAACTTTTTACAGTGTCCCAAATGTGCCAGGGGGCAAGCAAATTTTCATCCTGGCTGTGTTCCAGTTTGGGCAGGTATGCAAGAGAAATTTACTGCTACTCAAGAGAGAGACAGAGATTACATTTTCTAAGCTCTTTTACACACAACCATCCTTTTCGACAGGTTTGGCCTCTGGCGCTTATCATTATGGGATCTAAAAGCCAAGTAGCGTACCAAGCAGTCATGGAGAAATTGAGGGACCTTGGTATCAAGCCAAAAAAAATGATTACAGACTGGGAGCCAGCCCAACGGAATGCTTGGAGAAAGATTTTCAAAGCAATTGATATTTGGGGCTGCATATGGCATTTCCAGAGGGTAAGTGGTCGTGTATGAAAGAGGAGCTACAAACACTGAGTCTATGAATTTCCAATGTCCTGAGCTCCATAGTCGGATAACACTGTTAGAGCCAGTTTCAGAGATGTTTGAGCCTAAGTTAGGAAGCGCATTGCGTTATCAGGCTCATATTCTAATCCTTCCAGGCTATGGAAGATGTCTTGATCAATTTTTGTCTTGTAGGGCTTCTTATACATAGTGCTCAAGGCCCCCTCTCCAGGCACTCTATAATTTCTTACTCTGTTCCAACTCCTCCAATATTCAGCCTCAAGATCTCTCAGTAGTTCTGTAAATTAGAAATTTGATAACAGTTTGCAATAACTTACAAATAGGATTCATTTGCTTGCAATATCTGCTCTTTTATTTACTTACGAACGAAGTCCCAAAAGGGCGGATGAGCACTTTTGAAGAAGGAGTTCAGTCTGCGGTTGATAATTTCCAGACCACTTGTGCACGTTATATTCCTACCAAATACTGAGTGCTCTTCTAGAGTGGTTCTTAAAATCCATTGCCTTGTGGAATAGGCAAGTGCTTTTTGAAGCTTCTTGACGCCTCCCATTTTGAGTTTCCTTGTAGCATGTTGCTTAATCTTGTCAAAGCCTAGTTTGAAAAGTTTATGGGGAAGGCTTGGTATCAATGCAAGGAGCCTCATTATATATCGTTCTTACTAACTGGAAACCTTGGTAACTATTTTTATGTAAATTAATTTGTATGTTTCAGGCACTTTACAGAAAGGCAAACAAATCAGGATTGGCCCAGTTGTTGAAGCCAGGAGCCCCGATTTCTGAGGAAAGGTATATAATGAGGCTTCTTGCGTTGATCCCAAGGTTGCCACATAAGCTTATAAAATTGGGCTTCAATAAGGTTAAAAAACATGCTTCAAGGAAGGTGAAAATGGGAGGCCTGAAGAAACTGCAGAGAATGTTTGCTTACTTCACGAGGCAGTGGATACTAAAAACAACACCTGAAGAGCTTTCTGTGTTTGGTAGAAGTATTACTTGCACGAGTGGACTAGAAAGCATAAACAGAAGGCTAAATTCATTTTTCAAAAATGCTCACCCGCCCTTTTGGGACTTTGTTCGTAAGTAAATTAAAGAGCAGATATTGCAAGTAAATGTATCCTATTTGTAAGTGATTGCAAACTGTTAGCAAATTTCTAATTTACAGAACTACTGAGAGATCTTGAGGCCGAGTATTGGAGGAACTGGAACCGAGTGCGCAATTATGGAGTACCAGGCGAAGGGGCCGTCAGCGCAATGTACAAAAAGCCTTATAAAACCAAAATTGACCAGGATATCCTCCATAGTCTTAAAGCACTAGAAGATGAGCCTGACAATGTTATGAGATTTTTAACTCTGGCTCAGACATCCTTAAGACCTGCTATGACCGTGTTGTCGGATTATGGAGATCAGGACATACCCTTTGAAAAGCTGTAAGCTTCATTTTGAACATTCAAATCTCCCAACAGGGTGCTTCGCTTCGCTGAGGAAAATAGGTACATGGTGCTTTTTTATTTTGTTTGTAGACCTTGTGAAGAACAACTCAGTAATGATGTTGGAGATAAGAAAAGAAGAGGAGATAAGAAGAGGACAGCAGAAAGCTACCAAGAAGAATCTCCGATTCAACACAAGAGACGTAGAGTAATGCGACTGGTGTCAGAAAGTGAGCCAGAGGAAGGTAAAAGCAATCAAATACTCCAAATTTCATGTTATTAACGCCAGAAATTTTGTTAACAGAATTATTATATAATTGTATATATTAATATATAATAATACAATGTTGCATGCCTACAGTACATACCTCCCCTCGAAAGTAGTTGTCACGACTAATGACTAATCTTGTCAGCAGGAACTGGAGATGATGACAGTCATGGTAACGCCACTGATCGACAACAGGACAGCAGTACTGGAGAAGATGCTGGGACAGCTAAGGTGAATCTGCAAACAGATAATTATGGTAAGTTACACCAAGTTACAAGTTTTAAACAATGCCCATTATTGTTACAGAAATTTTGTATTTGATTTTCATTGATAGTAAAAATTAGGCATCTGTCATATCTATAATACTGACTGTTATCATATTCAGTGAACACTCACTCACATTATCAAAACCTTGTTTCAACAGAGCCACCGTGGTCGCCACCACCAACTTGGGTACCACTGAATACCCCACCCAGCGGAAGTAGCAACAGACAATCTATTCCACTCGAGACAACTCCTCTACGTTAGTAAAATCAGTTAGCCAGAAAATTTAACTATCAGTTATAACCTACCTGTATTCACACTGTTATTCCTCTCCCCAGGTAATGAGAAAGAGCACCAGGACCCACAGCAAGGCAATTCACAGAGAGTAGATGAAGAAGTTGCTGATGAGGATGATGAACAGCAGCACTGGTCTGAAACACCCAACCAAATTGGTAAGATACAAGTTACAACATTTTTAGACTAGGGAAATTCTGAATCCATTTTAAGTTTATTGACTAGGGCACTTATTATTATTTAGATTGCAACCCCCCCCCCCCCAATTGGACTTTGTATTTGATTTTCATTGATAGTAAAAATTAGGCATCCGTCATATCTATAATACTGACTGTTATCATATTCAGTGAACACTCACTCACATTATCAAAACCTTGTTTCAACAGAGCCACCGTGGTCGCCACCACCAACTTGGGTACCACTGAATACCCCACCCAGCGGAAGTAGCAACAGACAATCTATTCCACTCGAGACAACTCCTCTACGTTAGTAAAATCAGTTAGCCAGAAAATTTAACTATCAGTTATAACCTACCTGTATTCACACTGTTATTCCTCTCCCCAGGTAATGAGAAAGAGCACCAGGACCCACAGCAAGGCAATTCACAGAGAGTAGATGAAGAAGTTGCTGATGAGGATGATAAACAGCAGCACTGGTCTGAAACACCCAACCAAATTGGTAAGATACAAGTTACAACATTTTTAGATTAGGGAAATTCTGAATCCATTTTAAGTTTATTGACTAGGGCACTTATTATTATTTAGATTGCACCCCCCCCCAATTGGACTTCGAAATGAATAACAGTCCAAGCTCAAGTTATACTCCTCCAGGTAAGCACGGTAAACATTGTGAATTATTAACTATTCATAGTGTAACCAATGTCATTATTGCATTTTAAAAACAGAAGCCTACATATCATTATCAATTTGTGTCATATTTGCAGGATTTCCAGACTATAGATATTCACCTGCTACCCCAAGGACTCCATGTTCCTGGGCAACTGATGATCTAGAGGACAGGCTATATGAAAGTACGTACAACTTAAAATAACTCTAATCAAACATACTTTGCTTGTTTCACTGTACACGTTCATCCCATCACTTAACAAATATAATTCTTGCAGTG